TTATCGAAACACCCACCCCGATAATATTTCAGTGTTAGGGGATTTCCGATCGCTGTATAGCATTTTTCGATTCATTTCTAAATTATGCCAAAACGATATTCATAATTAGGTCAAAATGATATAGAATGGTCGTGCGATCGATTATTGATCGAGCGAGCGAACTTCGCCGTTTACGGACGCATAGCATTCTCACGGTTCATGCATCATTCTGCAATATGCATAAGACAGGAGAATGCGTGCGTGCCAGCCCCATTTTGTCATTTGAACCGGGGAGAAAGTTTTCGCAGCTATCTCCGTACCATCGGTCTTGTGATACCGAGAGAAACTCATGGTATGGGAGCATGAGCTGTAGTGCAGTTGTTACCTTGGTGCCAAAATGAGGACGAGGGATACGAATGAGGTCAAGAGCACGAAAGCCAGACACCGTGAAGTGACGTGCTAACGTGTAGTGATAGTAATACGCCAGAATCAACCTACGAAACTCGTGAATTGTGCAGTCAATGAGAGTTCGACCCTTGGGGGGACGATTTTATTGCTACCCAGAAAACCGTAACAAGGGGTATTTGTAGAACATCCATCAGATGATTTGTCTTGGCCCGTAGTCAAAGGACTGTCTACGGATTGTACAGCTGAGTGCTACCGAACGAGTTTCTAGGAGAACGGCCACCTTGGTGGTTAACCGTGAAAAGGTGGGGCTCCCTCACTGAATCATTGATCGCAGACGATCCGCGGCGATGCTAGAGGTCGTGGTGGAGTTTCCTGCTGGCAACCGATATCCCTTTCAAATGCCATAAGTTTCTGCTAACAGCATTGCGACGTGAGCGAATGTGGCCTGGCACCAAATAAGGTCATTGCTACCTGCCTACTCTTCCGGGTAGGGCAAACTCTGAGGAATGCTACCGACCCTCATACCTCACGGACACGTTGGGGTCCTGGACTGGCGCTGAGCCATCCGAAAGGCGTATGAACCGTTCTGACGGCCACCACCCTTTCTACCTTGTTACCCTGCAGGTTGGACTCGGTTGAGCAAGGGTTAGAGGCGCACCCTCGAACAAAAGCCCAACGACGCTGGGGACGTCACTAAGTACCTCATTCACAAGTTTTTCCATGGATCGTCTTACAATGGTACATCGCGTTCAAGCTACGGCTTTCCCGGGAAGCGACGCGCCCTGCGTTCTCCCAGTGGGTGGGGTAACAAATGAGAAAGCTGGGAACCTAAACATAAATGATCTATGCACCAGATCCAGCATCTTTGTAGCCTGCGGGAATGTTAGGACATTGTTAGACATAGGANGAAGCCAGTGTATCACAATGCGACCACTGCACGACTACGAGATAGACATCTGTAGTCTATCCGAAGTTCGACTGCCTAACTGTGGCACAAAACTAATCAACGAATCATACAGCAACGCAACCTTCCGGTTATACCACAGAAGTCAACTGACAACTCCGATTTGAACGAGGCAGCAGTCACCGTGAGCGGCCGGGCCAACAATGCCATGATCGTCTGGAAACCAGTCTCTCCCAGGATAGCCATAGCGCGCATCAGGGGTAAGCAGTTTAATTGACTGTCATCGCTGTATATACTCCGACGTTACATGCGGAAGAGCCTATCAAAGACGACTTCTACAAGCAAGTTCAAGACATAGTGAACCGAAATCCGAAACCTAAATCTCGTTGTCGCAGGAATGCACGCACTGGTCCATCAGACGAATACACTCGGCATGTTCTGGGAAAGTTCGGCCTTGGTCAACGTTGCGAAAATGGCGAGCGTCTAGCACCATTTGCCGACCTTAACCGGCTGATCGTGGCCAACACTCGTTTTCAGCACCCCAGAAAAAACCCACTTACGTAGTACTCCAATGACAGTCGAACGGCACGCTAGATTGATTATATTTTGGTACGTGCTCGTCGGGCCTCTTCGGTGGAAGTGCCGTTCTTATCGCGGCGCAGAAACTGGAAACAGGAACGGCATTTACCATATCCTCGTACGCCCCAGCTTTAAGATTCATCTGACTGCTCGCCGAAAGACTCGTCTCCCGGGCAAATTTAACGACCTGAGAGAAGGCATGCGCTGCTGGACGCAACCGCTTCCAACATACCCGCGACTTTCTCCGTTGACTCAACTGTCGACGCA